GCCCATCCACCTACCCCAGCTCTATGCTGTCCTATTAAGGCACGTTTTTGAGCCGGGTTAAGGTTAGGGTTAGGGTTAGTCAGATCAGGAGATGCAGGTGATGCTCTGCTCTGTTTGGGAGCTACCGCACATTCCTCTCCAAGGTGTAAGCAGGGTTGCTAAATCTGCCAGTGAATTATGCCAAACCGGCCAGCTGGATACAGGGAGTCCTCGACTTACGACCACAACGGAGCCCAAAATCTCTGTTGTTAAGCGAGACAGTCGTTAAGTGAGTTGTGCCCCGTTTTATGGCTTTTCTCACCATGTTTGTTAAGTGAATTGCTGCAGCTGTTAAGTTAGCAACCCGGTTGTTAAGTGAGTCTCGCTTCCCCTTTGACTTTGCTGGTCAGGACGTCATCAAAAGTTATTATAGACCCTCAAGACACTGTAACCGTCACAAATACGAGTCAGCTGCCAAATAGCAATAGCAATAGGCCTTAGACTTATATACCGCTTTACGGTGCTTCACAGCCCTCCCTAAGCAGTTAATAGGATCAGCATCTTTTCCCCAACAACCTGGGTCTTCATTTAACCGACCTCGGAAAAATGGAAAGCTGAGTCAAGCTTGAGTTGGTCAGAATCGAACTGCCAGCAATTCGGTAGTCAGTAGAAGTAGCCTGCACTACTGCATTCTAACCACTGCGCCACCATGTCCAAATTTTGACCATAGGGGATGCTGCAATGGTTGTGTGAAAAATAGACATAACTCCCTTTTTTCAGTGCCATTGTAACTTCGAACTGTCATTAAATGAATTGTTGTAAGTAGAGGACTACCTGTATGCCAAACCTACATCCCACCCACCATCCTTATTGCTCTTCCAGGAGATCTTTGCCCAACCATCTTACACTGGTTGTAATAGAATGTAAAAAGGAGCAGTTTATATAGTGACGGAGTTTATAGAATAAATTGAATTGCAGATAATCATTTGTTTAGTGACCGTTCAAAGTTACAACGGCACTGAAAAAAGCGACCAGAGAACCGGTAGTTACCCTGGTTGCAGCAACCCCAGGCTCACGTGATTCAAATTTGGCAATTGGCTTGTAGTTATGACAGTTGCACTGTTCTGGGGTCAAAGGATCGGCGATTGCGGACTTCCGACAAGCAGAGTCAACGGGGAAAGCCAGGCTTCCGACGTCCCGATATAGTCAGTTGGTGCCATCACTGACTGTTGGGGGCGAATCGGTGGCCCCCACGGAGAGGGCTCGCAACTTGGGTGTCCTCCTGGATTCACGACTGTCTTTAGAAGAGCACATGACGGCCGTGACCGGGAGGATTTTTCATCAGGTTCGCCTGATTCGCCAGTTGCGTCCCTTTCTGGATCGGGACTCGTTACGCACGGTCACTCATGCCCTCGTCACTTCCCGCCTGGACTACTGCAACGCTCTCTACATGGGGCTCCCCTTGAGGAGCACCCGGAGGCTCCAACTGGCGCAGAGTGCGGCCGCGCGGGTGGTAATGGGAGCGACATGGCGCTCCCATGCAACACCTCTCCTGCACGAGCTGCACTGGCTCCCGGTGGTCTTCCGTTCTTCAAGGTCTTGATTACCACCTTTAGAGCACTCCATGGCTTAGGACCTGGTTATCTACGGGACCGCCTGCTGCCACCAGTAGCCTCCCACTGGCCTGTACACTCTCATAGAGAGGGGCTCCTTCGGGTGCTGTCGGCCAAACAAGCGGCCCCCAGGGGGAGAGCCTTCTCTGTGGGGGCATCTACTATCTGGAATGAGCTCCCCCTGGAGATACGGAGGATCCCGGATCTACGCACCTTCCGCCACGCTCTTAAAACCTTTTTATTCCATCAGGCTGGCCTGGCCTAATTTTTCCCTTTTTCCCTTTTAAAACACAAATTATAATTTGTTTTTAATTTATTGGGGTGTTTTTAAATCTGTCTTCAGCCAAATTGTTTAATTCAGTTTTATTCTGTTTTTAAATTTTGTATTTATGTGTTTTTATCTTGTGGCTGTTCACCGCCCTGAGTCCTTCGGGAGTAGGACGGTATACAAATCAAATAAACTAAACTAAACTAATGCCTGCAAGATTCATTTAACAACTGCAGCGATTTGCTTAAGAAGCCTTGCATAAAGGTGGTACGATTGGACACGGCTCCCGTCATAAGCGCCCCGCTTAGCGACGGAAGCTCAGGTCCCAGTTGCGGTCGTAAGTCGAGGTCTATCTGGAGTCAACGGGTTGTCTCGTGAGACAATAGGGTTGTTTGTAATGAAGACAGGGATTATCTAAAAAATAAGATTTTCTATGAATGAGATAGCTCTTATCTTGCAGCACAGGTGAGATAATGTTCATAATTCAACACATCTGCCTAATCTATGCTTCATTGAATCTTACTATAGAGAACATTATGGCTCCTTTATGACCTGTGGACTTCAACTCCCAGAATTCCTGAGCCAACAAGGAGTTGACTGGCTGGCAGTTAAGAGTCCACAGGTTGTAAAAGAGGCCATGGCACATACTCCTCCACTAGAATGCTTTTTTGCAACCTTTCAGCTCTGATTTCATTGCCAAAATTCCATGATAAGCTACCAAGCAACAGCCCTTTTTGATGGGTTGCATGCTGGTAGATGTATTTCTTTCTTTCTTTCTTTCTTTTTTTTTTTTTTTTGCAAAATAAAAGGTGGGTTTTTTTTTTTAAATTAAAAAAAGTCCAGTTGTGGGGGGAAAGGTCAAAAATATTGGTAATTCCCTTCTGATGACTTCTTCACATTAATTTTATGTCCCTGTAGTCCTTTGTCACTGAAAAAATACTGTAGGTTGTTAAAATGCTGCAGCTCCTAGTCACAAAAATACTGCCTGGTTCTGAGTTAGATAGAGTTGTTTTTTGACCCAGTATAAAGCACCCCTTTATGTCTGTCCAGGGCATAATTTTAATGATTGAGTTTGGTACTTACTCTTGGGAGGATAAAGAAAAGTGTACTATCAATTTTTCCATGATATTAACATGGAAGGTTCTTCTGTTCTGATGATGTGATTTCACTCTTTAACACTACTTTCTGTTGTGATCATCAGCCAAGGATGTGAACAGTGATGATTAAAGTGATGATTAAGTGCTGGCTTTGGGAATAACATACATCAGCATTTGTTGTTGCCAAAGGTTATCAAATATCTCTGCACACGACCTCAGCAATATTATATTGGTATTATTTAGCTTTGACATTTATAAAAGCATATGTATACAATTAATTTGTTCAGAGAAAGTCATTTGGCAAGGAAAGGTATCCAGTAACAGATAAAGAAGGTATTTACAGATCCTCTAAATGCAGGCATAATGGACAAATGCAACTTCCATACAAATGCATTTTATAGCTGGACAGCAATGCAAAAGACCCTCTTGTGAGTATCAGTAGGATACATCTTCAAAAAGGCCTCTACTGCAGCTCTCTACTGTTAAGATAGTATTGTAATGGTATAAAAGCACACCTAGAACTTTTAAAGGTTAATATTAATGGCTTAAATTGTTCCTCATGAGCAATATTTTACATACACAAGATGGTGAAAAAATTTATTTCTTCCATTTTACATCATTAACTTACAAAATTCATAATGCCCTTAGAGCATGGGTGTTAAACTCATCACGCTGCCCTCATGTGACGTTTCATGACATTTTCCCATCTGGCCCACAGGCTGCCATTTGACACCCCTGCCTTAGAGTGATGCCTTAGAGTTCTGCTTTGCAGAAAAATGTCTTCCCTTATCCAGCACTTCCTGGAATCGCTATATGATAAGGTGGTATCACATGATAGTTCCAGTTAGCAGTGATAGCATAGAGACCCCTATCTGCAATTAGCCTGATGATGCTATCAGGTTTTTTTTAAAAAAAAACCTTATAGCAAAGCCAGAAGAGATCTCTGGCTCAGATGATATAGTTTTAAAAGTAAATGTAATCCTTGTTCACTCCCAGCCAGTGAAATTATTATGTTTGCAGTTTTACAACAATCCTTACAAAAATTGTCCAGTCAAAATGGACAAGTAAAGCAGATTTTTTAAAGGGATCTACCTTCCCTTAACATTTGGTGTACAGTTACAATCCATTTGAATTTAGATTGCAATATGTCATAATTCTGCCTTTAATTGAAGTTTAAATAAATGGTCTTTAATTCTTTCCATTTCAGTCACATGATGGTGAAAAATAGTTTGAATTCTCATCTGAAAGCTTGCCTGTTTTTGATATGCTTTGAACTTCAAAAAAAGTTCTAGAGAGTTATTAGAAACAGCAGTTCAAAAACAGAAGAGATAAATAGAACAGCTTTTGAGTAATAAGCATATACAAGAGTGTATGCAGAAAAATAAATTTCAATTCTCCTAATGTCATGATAGAAGAGTGATCCTCAGCATTTCCCTTGGTTAGGAAGTATTGTGAAAATCAGCTGTGCTGGTTTCATCTATAACTGGGATGCCTCTGAGCCCCTTTTGCTCAATGCAGAACTGTCTGGCAGCCAATAAAATCTAATTCATACAATCACTGCATTCTCTTGTAAAGTTCTAACTCCTAGTGCTTTGGTTAAGGCACCAGACTAAAAAGTAGGAGAATGTGAGTTCTAGTCCCACCTTAGCCATCAAAGCCAGCTGGGTGACCTTGGCCAATCATTCACCCACAGCCCAACTCATGTTAGAGGGTGTTTATTGTGGGGAAAATAGGAGAGGGAAGGTGTGTTGAATATGTTGCCACCAGGGCCGGATTTTCCTATAGGCTAACTAGGCTTCAGCCTAGGGCCTCAAGATCAAGAGGGGCCTACATTCAAATTGTTAGCAAAATTAAAATTACACTTTCACTATAGGTGAAAGGGCCTCATAAGTGGAATAGCCTAGGGCCTCTTTTCATGTAAATCCAGCCCTGGTTGCCACCCTGAGTTATTTGTAAAAATAATCTTCTCTCCCAAAGATGGCGGACGGCGCTTATCCGGCGGACGGCCCCCCGACGTCACTTCCGGCGAGGCTGTGGCGGGCGATTTCAACGGCGCGGAGAAGCGGTCGGGAGGAGGAAGGAGGCGGCCGCCATGGCGGGAGGCCGCCCCGGGAGGCGGGCGCGCTCGGCCGGGGAAGCCCGGGAAGGTGAGGCGAGGCTTTGGGTGGGTTGGGGGATCCCGCGTTGCAGGCCCGGGGAGGGGGAGGGGGCTCCTCTGCCTCGCTTCCCAAACGCCCCTCCCCCTCCCTGGGCTTCCCTGCCTTCAAGGACAGATTTGCTTTTTATTTCCCGCCTTTATTTACTGTTATTATATCCCGCCATTATTATTATTATTATTATTATTATTATTATTATTATTATTATTATTACACCCGGTTTTATTTATCAATATATCTTGCCTTTATTGTTATTATATTCCGCCTTTATTATTATATACAGCTATTATTATTATTATTATTATTATTATTACTACTACTACTACTACTACAACATCCGGTTTTTATTTATTAATATATCCTGCCTTTATTTATTGCTATTATATCCTGCCTTTATTTACTGTTATTATATTCTGCCATTATTATTATTATTATTATTATTATTATTATTATTATTATTATTCCTGTTTTTATTTATTAATATATTCTGCCTTTATTTACTGTTATTATATTCCTCCTTTATTATTATATACAGCTATTATTGTTGTTGTTATTATATCCAGTTTTTATTTATTAATATATCCTGCCTTTATTTACTGTTATTATATTCTGCCATTATTATTATTATTATTATTATATCTAGTTTTTATTTATTAATATATCCAGCCTTTATTTACTGTTATTATATTCCACTTTTATTATTATATAAACTATTTATTATTATTATTATTATTAGTTTAGTTTAGTTTAGTTTAGTTTAGTTTAGTTTAGTTTATTAGATTTGTATACCGCCCTACTCCCGAAGGACTCAGGGCGGTGAACAGCCATGAAATAAAACATATCAATACAAAATTTAAAATAGAAATAAAACAAGTTAGATAAATTTGGCTGAACCATATTTAAAACCCCAATAATTTAAAACCAAATTTAAAATTCCCATTTAAAAGAGGAGAAGTTTAGGTCAGGCCGGCTTGCTGGAATAGGAACGTCTTCAGCGTGCGACGGAAGGTACGCAGATCCGGAATCCTCCGTATCTCGGGGGGGAGCTCGTTCCAGATAGTAGGTGCCCCCACAGAGAAGGCTCTCCCTGGGGGCCGCCAGTCGACATTGTTTGGCCGACGGCACCCGGAGGAGCCCCTCTCTATGGGAGCGTACTGGTCGGTGGGAGGCTATTGGTGGTAGCAGGCAGTCCGTAGATAACCAGGTCCTGAGCCATGGAGCGCTCTAAAGGTGATGACCAAAACCTTGAAGCGCACTCGGAAGACCACCGGGAGCCAGTGCAGCTCGCGCAGGAGAGGCGTTACATGGGAGCGCCACGTCGCTCCCATCACCACCCGCGCGGGCCGCACTCTGCGCCAGTTGGAGCCTCCGAGTGCTCCTCAAGGGGAGCCCCATGTAGAGAGCGTTACAATAGTCCAGACGGGAGGTGACGAGGGCATGAGTGACCGTGCGTAACGAGTCCCGATCCAGAAAGGGACGCAACTGGCGAATCAGGCGAACCTGATGAAAAATCCTCCCGGTCACGGCCGTCAAGTGCTCTTCTAAAGACAGCCGTGAATCCAGGAGGACACCCAAGTTGCGAGCCCTCTCCGTGGGGGCCAATACTTCGCCCCCAATAGTCAGCGATGGCACCAGCTGACTATATCGGGATGTCGGAAACCACAGCCACTCGGTCTTGGATGGGTTGAGTCTGAGCCTGTTTCTCCCCATCCAGATCCGTACGGCCTCCAGGCACCGGGACATCACTTCAAGGGCATCGTTGGGGTGGTCCGGGGTGGAGATGTACAGCTGGGTGTCGTCAGCGTACTGATGGTACTCCACCCCGAAACCACGGATGATCTCGCCCAACGGCTTCACATAAATGTTGAACAAAAGGGGCGAGAGGACCGATCCTTGTGGCACCCCACATATAAGGGGCCTCGGGGTCGACCTCTGCCCCCCTGTCAACACAGACTGCGACCGGTCGGAGAGGAAGGAGGAGAACCACCGTAGTACGGTGCCTCCCACCCCCAACCCCCCCAACCGGTGCAGCATGATACCATGGTCGATGGTATCAAAAGCCGCTGAGAGATCTAATAGGACCAGGATAGAGGAACAACCTCTGTCCCGAGCCCTCCAGAGATCATCCACCAACGCGACCAATGCCGTTTCCGTGCTGTACCCAGGCCTGAAGCCCGACTGGAACGGATCTAGATACGTCGTTTCATCCAGGTACCGGGGAAACTGTCGTGCCACCACACTCTCAACAACCTTCGCAACAAAGCGAAGGTTGGAGACTGGACGATAATTAGCCAATATTGCCGGGTCCAGGGAAGGCTTCTTGAGGAGAGGTCTCACCACCGCCTCTTTCAAGGCGGCGGGAAAGACACCCTCACTCAATGAAGCATTTATAATCCCCTGGAGCCAGCCTCGCGTCACCTCCCGGGAAGCCAGCACTAACCAGGAGGGGCACGGGTCCAACAAACATGTGGTCGCATTCAGTCTACCCAGAATCCTGTCCACGTCCTCAGGGGTCACAGAGTCAAACTCATCCCAGATAACATTCTCAGGACCTGCCTCCGTCATCCCCACTGGATCTACCCAGTCAGAGTCCAGATCTTCCCGAATCTGAGTGATTTTGTCATACAGATACTGAACAAAATCCTCGGCTCTCCCCTCCAAGGGGTCCTCCCTCGCTTCCTGGTGGAGCAGGGAGCGGGTCACCCTAAACAGGGCGGCCGGGCGGTTATCTGATGACGCGATAAGAGCAGCAAGATGAGTACATTTCGCTGCTTTTATCGCCACTAGGTAATTCTTAATATGAGATCTTACCAGTGTCCGGTCAGATTCAGTGCGACTGGCCCTCCAACTACTCTCTAGGCGTCTTTTCCGGCGCTTCATCTCCCTCAGCTCCTCAGTAAACCAAGGAGCCAGGTGAGATCGGCGCCGGGTCAGAGGCCGCAAAGGCACGACTCGATCCAGAGCTCCAGCGCCGCCCTATCCCAGGCGGCCACTAAGTCTCCAGTCGAGGCGTGAGCCAAGACCTCAGGCATTGGCCCAAGCTCCGTCTGGAACCTATCAGGTTCCATCAGGCGCCTGGGGCGGTACCATCTTATCGGTTCCGCCTCCCTGCGGCGGGGAGCAGCGGTTCGAAGATCAAGGCGAAGGAGAGAGTGATCCGACCATGACAAGGGCTCGATAACTATGTCCCCTATCTCGAGATCACTCGGCCACTGTCCAGAGACAAAAATCAGGTCCAGTGTGTTTCCCCCCATGTGCGTAGGGCCATGAATTAGCTGGGTCAGATCCATAGCCGTCATGGAAGCCATGAACTCCCGAGCCACCTCAGACGTCTCACCCACGGACGGCAGGTTGAAATCCCCCATGACCATAAGTCTGGGGGTATCAACCGCCACCGCGGCAATAACGTTGAGTAGCTCGGGCAGGGCTGCTGCCACGTGGCAGGGAGCCAGGTACGTGATCAGCAAACCCATCTGAACCCCATGACCCCACTTCACAAGGAGGGTCTCACAACCGGCCGTCTGAGGAACAGTGGTCTCCCTCGGCCTAAAACCTTCTCTAATAATAACCGCTACCCCCACCCCTTCCCTGAGACCTCGGTTGATGGAATGCGTGGAAGCCTGGTGGGCACATTTCTACCAGAGGGACCCCTCCCTCCAGGCCCAACCAGGTCTCCGTAATACCTGCCAGGTCCGCTCCCCCTCCTGAACAAGATCACAAATGAGGGGGGCTTTATTTACTGCGGACCTGGCATTGCACAACATCAGCCGAAGGCCCGGGCCCTGAGGATCTGTGCAACCTGGAGAACGAGTGGAGCCTTGGGGCCGGAGCACGCTACCGCATGGAGACAGCGGGTGCGCACTCCCTTAACATGATATGGCCCCCTGCTCCCGCCATGTCTACCCCTCCCCCTCACAGTACCGATGGTAAAAACACAATCTGGACAGGCTCGACCCCTCCATTTCCTCCGGAATCCTACCCCACCCCCCCCGCCGCGTATAGTGGCCAGGCCTGACCTTCCCCTTGGTGGGTTATCCCCCAAACCCACTACCCTAGTTCCAATTTTGCCTCCCCCCCCCCCCCCGGGACCCCTTAAAATTTTTTCCAAAAATTTACATAAAAAACCCTCAACCCCCTCTTCGCCGCATGCCATTATTATTATTATTATTATTTATTATACATGAAACAGTCAACTAAACATTTTAAAATGTGTCACAAATATCATTGACTGGCCTTGATGGTTGATACGAGTTGCTGCCAGCATCCTAGCTTTCATCATCATCATCATCATTATTAGTATATTTTTATTTTTATTATATCCTGACTTTATTCATTATTATATTCCACCTTTGTTACTATACTTTGCCATTATTATTATTGTTATTATTATTATTATCATTTATTCATTATTTGCTTTTTTTATTACCCTGTTCCCCCCAAAATAAGACATCCCCTGATAATAAGCCCAATCGGGCTTTTGAGCGCATGACAATAAGGCCAAGCGCTTTTTTCAGGGTTCAAAAAAAATATAAGACGGTCTTATTTTCGGGGAAACTCGGTATATCCTGCCTATATTCATTATTATATTCCACCTTTATTACTATACTTTGCCATTAGTATTATCATCATCATCATCATCCACTTTTATTTATTATTTCTCGCCTTTATTCATTCTTATATTCCACTTTTCTTTATTATACTTCACCTTTATTCATTATTATTATATATTGCCTTTATTTTTATTATATCCTGCCTTTATTCATTATTATATTCCACCTTTATTACTATACTTTGCCTTTATTATTATCCACTTTTATTTATTATATCCTGCCTTTATTCACTCTTATATTCCATCTTTATTACTATACTTCACCTTTCTTCATTATTATTATATCCCGTCTTTTTCATCATCATATGTTCAGACTGGATTTGGCATTTTTATCCACCTGTCGCGTCCTTCCCAAGGACCTGGGATAGGCAGATGCGAATATTTGATAGAATTATTCATTTACAGGTAGTCCTTGAGGTACAACAGTTCATTTAGTGACTGTTCGAAGTTACAACAGCTCTGAAAAAAGTGACTTATGGCTGTTTTCACACTTAACGACCGTTGCAGCATCCCCATGGTCAAAACGGGATCAAAACTCAGACACTTGGCAACTGATTCATATTTACGATGATCCCCTTTTGCGACCTTTTGACAAGCAAAGTCAACGGGGAAGCCAGATTCACTTAACAACCGTGTGACTAATTTAACAGCTGCAGTGGATTCATTTCACAAATGTAGCAAGGAAAGTCGTAAAATGGGGGATTATTATTATTATTATTATTATATCTAGTTTTTATTTATTAATATATCCAGCCTTTATTTACTGTTATTATATTCCACTTTTATTATTATATAAACTTATTATTATTATTATTCTTATTCTTATTATTATTATTATTATTATTATTTATTATACATGAAACAGTCAACTAAACATTTTAAAATGTGTCACAAATATCATTGACTGGCCTTGATGGTTGATACGAGTTGCTGCCAGCATCCTAGCTTTCATCATCATCATCATCATTATTATTAGTATATTTTTATTTTTATTATATCCTGACTTTATTCATTATTATATTCCACCTTTGTTACTATACTTTGCCATTATTATTATTGTTATTATTATTATTATCATTTATTCATTATTTGCTTTTTTTTATTACCCTGTTCCCCCCAAAATAAGACCTCCCCTGATAATAAGCCCAATTGGGCTTTTGAGCGCATGACAATAAGGCCAAGCGCTTTTTTCAGGGTTCAAAAAAAATATAAGACGGTCTTATTTTCGGGGAAACTCGGTATATCCTGCCTATATTCATTATTATATTCCACCTTTATTACTATACTTTGCCATTAGTATTATCATCATCATCATCATCCACTTTTATTTATTATTTCTCGCCTTTATTCATTCTTACATTCCACTTTTATTTATTATACTTCACCTTTATTCATTATTATTATATATTGCCTTTATTTTTATTATATCCTGCCTTTATTCATTATTATATTCCACCTTTATTACTATACTTTGCCTTTATTATTATCCACTTTTATTTATTATATCCTGCCTTTATTCACTCTTATATTCCATCTTTATTACTATACTTCACCTTTCTTCATTATTATTATATCCCGTCTTTTTCATCATCATATGTTCAGACTGGATTTGGCATTTTTATCCACCTGTCGCGTCCTTCCCAAGGACCTGGGATAGGCAGATGCGAATATTTGATAGAATTATTCATTTACAGGTAGTCCTTGAGGTACAACAGTTCATTTAGTGACTGTTCGAAGTTACAACAGCTCTGAAAAAAGTGACTTATGGCTGTTTTCACACTTAACGACCGTTGCAGCATCCCCATGGTCAAAACGGGATCAAAACTCAGACACTTGGCAACTGATTCATATTTACGATGATCCCCTTTTGCGACCTTTTGACAAGCAAAGTCAACGGGGAAGCCAGATTCACTTAACAACCGTGTGACTAATTTAACAGCTGCAGTGGATTCATTTCACAAATGTAGCAAGGAAAGTCGTAAAATGGGGGTAAAACTCACTTAACAAATGTCTCGCACAGCAACAGAAATGTTGAGGTCAATGATGGTTGTAAGTTGAGAGCTACCTGTATTGGCTGCCCAGGGTAACTCTGGGTGGCTTAACAATCACAAAGATCTAATTAGATCTACGGTCTAATTAAAGATCTACGGTCTAATTAAAGATGGGGTGGACGGGAGCAGAATGGGGTTCCCCCCAAGCCAATTGTCTTAAGGCTCTGAGGGTTTAACAGTAACAGAGTTGGAAGGGACCCTTGGAGGTCATCTAGTCCAACCCCCTGCTTATGCAGGAGGCCTTTACTAGGGATTCGAACTGCTGACCTTTCTGATCAACAAGCTCAGCGTCTTAGCCACTGAGCCACCTAGTCACCCAACTCCAATGGGGGCGGAGGAGGGGGAAATATTCCAGAAGGACATTTATTTATTTATTGGTTCGATTTATATGCCGCCCTTCTCCGGAGACTCAAGGCGGCTTACAATGCGTTAAGCAATAGCCTTCATACTTTTGTATATACCTGCTTAGTAGGGCTTTCGGCCCCCCCCAAGCGGTGTTCTTTTTTATACAAAGTCAGCTTATTGCCCCCACAATCCAGGTCCTCATTTTACTTATCTCGAAAGGATGGAAGGCTGAGTCAACCTTGAGCCTGGTGAGATTTGAACTTGCAGTAATTGCAGGCAGCTGGTGCTACTTAATAGCACTTTAGTCTGCTGCGCCACCAAGGCTCTAATCTCATCTTTGTTGTTATTATATAATCAGATCGTATGAGAATCCAGCCAAGTGAGGTTTGATAGGCTTGGGGGTGGGGGGTGGCCGTGGTTTATGGCAGGGGTCTCCAACTTTGGTAATTTTAATCCTGGCGGACTTCAACTCCCAGAATTCAGGTTCCACAGGTCTTAAAAGTTGCCAAGGCTGGCTCAGCATGGTTGGCTGGGGAATTCTGGGAGTTGAAGTCCTGCCAGGCTTAAAGCTGCCGAGGTTGATGTATGATCAAGGGTTGTTGGCTTAGCCCCTTGAAATACGATACACAAATAAATAAATTTTGGGAATGCAAGAAAGAAAAGGACCCTTCTAAATCGGGGGTCCCCGTCCCTCAGTCTGTGAACTAGGACTGGTCCGCGCAAACAAGCAAAGCCCCTTCCGTGGTTTTGCTTGTTTGAATCACGCCTCCCCAGTCCACGGAAAAACCTTTCCACGGAACTGGTCCCTGGTACCCAAAAGATTGGCAGCCATTCTTCTAAATAACCAGAGGATGGTTTACAAAACAGCCCTGGTTAACAATAGACCAAGGCTGCATTTATTTAATATGCCTCTCCGTATCCCAGTCAGCCACACTGGGGTTTAATGTGAATTTGTTCCGTCCCCCGTCCCGTCCCATCCCATCCTCGTCCCCCGTCCCCTGATGCTTCTTGGGACATGTGATGTGAAAGTGCAGCTCTCTGGAAAAGATATTAATCTTGGGAAAGGTGGAAGGAGAGAGAAAAAAGAGAAGGACCAGCCAGGATGGATTTGATTTAAATCGAGTTGATTTAAATCACAATTTAAATCATGATTTAAATCACTAGTAAAAAGGCTTGATTGAAATCAACTCGGTTTAAATCATAATTTTTAAAGAGCAACTGTCATCTCTGCTACTCCTTTGACCCACTGTTGACTCACCGATAGTCCCAGTGTTGCAGAATATACAGCCTCCTGCTACATAACTAAGCTCCATTTCATGCTGAATAAACGAAATTATTTATGTATCTTAAATAGAAAACTATCTTACGGTAGATTTTTACCCCAAAAGTTTTTTATTAAAATAAATTTGATAAAAATAAAAAAAATCCGATTTAAATAAAAAAAATCTGATTTTTTTTTTGATTTTTTAAAAAAAATCATTGATTTTTATCCACCCTGGGACCAGCACAGGGGCAATGAATGCACCATGTCAAAGAAAACCTCTCTATCCGTTCCCTAGGAGTCGACGACGACTTCATGGTGTACAATCAACAGTCAGAAAATTTCATAGGACAAGGGCTCAGTTTCCCAAAACTTCCTCACCCGTAAACTAAGCAGTCTCGTGTGTATTTTTTAACCTGTCAGGCGTGTTGTGTGCGCTAAGACAAAAGGTTGTTTGTTTGTTTGTTTATTTATTTATTGGTTTGATTTATATGCCTTGAGCCTGGTGAGATTTGAACTTGTAGTAATTGCAGGCAGCTGGCAGCTAACTGCTATTTAACAGTGCTTTAGTCTGCTGCTCCACCAAGGCTCCGTACTGTACTGTCGCTATCTTTATTAAGGAGAAGTATAGTGGCGAAGATGCTGAGCTTGTCGATCGAAAGTTCAGCGGTTCAACTCCCGAGGGCCGCGTAACGGGGTGAGCTCCCGTGACTTGTCCCAGCTTCTGCCAACCTAGCAGTTCGAAAGCACGTAAAAAAATGCAAGTAGAAAAATAGGGACTTTTGGTGGGAAGGGAACAGCGTTCCGTGCGCCTTTGGCCTTGAGTCATGCTGTCCACATGACCACGGAGATGTCTTTGGACAGGGCTGGCTCTTCGGCTTTGAAACGGAGATGAGCACCGCCCCCTGGAGTCGGGAACATCTAGCACATATATGCGAGAGGAACCTTTATCTTTTACCTTTATCTTTGGTTTTGTTTCTGTTAGGAGACCGCTTCTAGACTTAGTACTCGGAGGAAGCAGGTGTTCAACAACTTGCAACACCTATTTCTAATTGTCAGCATTACAGGCAGTTTTTGACTTACACCGGTTTGTTTAGTGACCGAAGTTACAACGGCCCTGGAAAACAAGTGTCTTAGGACCGTTTTTCTCACTTACAACAGTTGCGGCATTCCCCACGCTCACGTGATCCGACTTTAGGCGCTGGCAACTTGTCACGTGAGCCCCTTTTGCGACCTTTTGATGAGCAAAGTCCACGAGAAAGCCAGATTCACTTAACAACCCTGTTCCTAACTTAACAACTGCACTGATTCACTTAACAACTGTGGCAAGAAAGATCGTAGAATGGGGTGAAAGTCATTTAACAAATGTCTCGCTTAGCAGTCAGGAACGTCGGATTCAATTGGGGTCATAAGTCCAGGAGGCCCTGGCTTGTAGCACGACTCTTATTTTGAAATGAAAACATTCCCTGAGTATGGACTTCACGATTTTGCTTACCATCTTTGATCAAACCCTTTTATTCTTTCTATTTATTCCCCAGGTGCTGCTTCCTCTCCCCCCAGGCGGAGGTCCGAGAGAAACTTGCCTTCCTCAAATTGTCCGGTGTTCCAGGGTAACCCCAGTGGGGTGGCCAAGAAAATGATGGGCACCCCGGTACGAGAAAAGCATTGCTGTTTGTGCTTTCATTTATTCTTTTATGAATTTAAAATTCTACTTGGGTAGCGATGCGTTGGGTAAGCCATACGGATAATCATTTAGGGACTGTGTTCAAAGTTAAAATGACAGTGAAAAGGTGATTTATGACCGTTTTTCACACTTAACGACCATTGCAGCATCCCGATGGTCGCATGATCAAAATTCAGATAGCAATAGCTCTTAAACTTATATCCTGCTTCACAGTGCTTTCCAGTCCTCTAAGCGGTTTACAGAGTCAGCCTCTTTCCCCCAACAATCTGGGTCCTCATTTTACCGACCTCGGAAGGATGGAAGGCTGAGTCAACCTTGAGCTGGTCAGGATCGAACCGCTAGCAGTGGGCAGGGTTAGCCTGCAATACTGCATTCTAATAGGGAGGGAGGGAGGGCAATAGCCCTTAGACTTATATACCGCTTCACAGTGCTTTTACAGCACTTTCTAAGCAGTTTATAGAGTCAGCCTCTTGCCCCCCAACAATTTGGGTCCTCATTTTACCCACCTCGGAAGGATGGAAGGCCGAGTCAACCTTGAGCCTGGTGAGGTTCGATCTGCCAAGATGTTTGGCAATTGACTCGTATTTGTGACGGTTTTGCTGTGTTCCCTGGGTCACGTAATCCCCTTTTGCGACCTTCTGACAAACCGCGTTAATGGGGAAGCTGGATTCGCTTAATGGCCATGACACTCATTGAACGACTGCAGGGATTCACTTACCAACTGTGGCAAAAAAGGTTGTAAAATGGGGCAAACCTCACTTGACAACTGTCTCGCTGAACAACAGAAATTTGGGACTCAGTTGTGGTTGTAAATCAAGGATGACCTGTATTTGGGTTAGGAGTGATTGTTCAGGTTCTCTCAAAGCATGTGATGTATTTTAGAAAGACAAGTCTCAGATTCTGTGTGTTTTAACAGAAAAATTCTCTCCCAGCTGCATTTTTCTTTGCTGCCCTGCTGAATATTTTTTTCCTGTCTTCTTTTTAGCGCCCGGGTGCCTCTGTCATGCGCACGATAACTCTGAGAAAGATTAAGCCACGGAACAAGCAGGTGAGTTCCCTGTTTCCCCTAAAATAAGACCTCCCCTGATAATAAGCCCAATCAGACTTTTAAGCACAGGTGCTAAAATAATAATATAAGGCCTAAATAATAACAACATTTTACTATTTTAATGGGTTGTTTTATTAGAGTTTTTTGGCCAATTTATTTAATTGTTTTAAATTGCTTTTAATTTTTATACTGTCATGGTTTTATTTTTGGCTGTACACCGCCCTGAGTCCTTCGGGAGAAGGGCGGTATAGAAATTCAATAAAATAAAATAAAATAAAATAAAATAAAATAATCCCCCTCCGAAAATAAGCCCTCCCTGAAAATATTTAACCGCATGCACAGCCGGTCCCCGCCATTTCCTCTGGTTAGGGTTAGGGAGACAGAGCTGGAATTCAGGTAAGATGGCAAGAGGAGCCCCGCCTTGCTCCATGCGCCCCAAAATAATAAGACCTCCCCGAAAATAAGGCCAAGCGCTATTTCGGGGTTTGAAAAAAAAATATATAAGACAGGGTCTTATTTTCGGGAAAACACGGTAGTTGTTATGAAGCTACTTTATACATGTTCCATATTTTATGTGATTTTTTTAAAAATAACTTTTTATTGAAGCTTATCTGAATAAAAGATGCAAATGAAAATAGAGACAAAAATACAGAAAGTGGAGAGAGAAACAGAAAGGGGAGAGAAGGTGCGAAGGAAAAAGAAAAGAAGGAAAAAAAGCACAGCCCTCCAACTTTTTTCGGTGCAGTAATTAAATTAGTAAAGTGTGTAATAAAGTAAATTACACTTAGACTTTTTCCTTTTATATAATTAGTGACTACTAGCCATTTCTACAGCAACAAACTGAATCACCAACATTCAAAGTCAATGTTTCGTTTCATTCTATTTCGAGTAAAAATCTGGAAGCAATCTCCAAATAGAAACAAAACTGGATATATTATTTCCTTTAATTAAGACACTTTTGCTATCCCTGCCAGTTCTATTACCGTGAGAATTGACCTCTCTTTCTGTGGAATATTATTATTATTATTATTATTATTATTATTATTATTATTATTATTATTATTATTTTCATATGGTGTAACAGAATCCAGCAATAATGCATAAAAACTCACCAATTCAGCATATAAAATGGGTATCAAAATATTAAACATCAGAGCTGTGAACCATTTTTAAAAACGTACAGCACACGAGTAATAAATAAAATTATGAATGAAATTAAATCATGGTCTTATGCCAAATTAACTACTTTTTTGTGTGTGCTCTATTGTTCCCAGGACCAGGTGAAAGAAAGTGATTTAATTCCTCGTCGGAGTCCAAGGGTAAGCACGGCGCCATAGCAATTCTTGAGAATTAAAAGAAGGCCAAGATCTGGAACTTTTAAGTAAGCCCGCCTTCCCCAAGATGACTGGGGAATTCTGGGAATTGAAGTCTAACACATTGAGAGCAGCGGTCCCCATTTTGGCACCAGGGGCCAGTTTCATGGAAGACAATTTTTCCACGGACTTGGGTGGGTGGGGGAGAGAAGGAGCACACAAATTAGATTCCCCGTATGTGCAATTTAGGGTATGCGGTGGCTCTGTGGCTAAGACGCTGAGGTCGATCGAAAGGTCGGCAGTTCAATGGTTTGAATCCCTAGTGCCACATAACGGGCTGAGCTCCTGTGACTTGTCCCAGCTTCTGCCAACCGAGCAGTTCGAAAGCAGGTAAAAAATGCAAGTAGAGAAACAGGGACCACCTTTGGTGGGAAGGTAACAGCGTTCCGTGCGCCTTTGGCGTTGAGTCATGCCGGCCACATGACCACGGAGACGTCCTCGGACAGCGCTGGCTCTTTGGCTTTGAAACGGAGATGAGCACCGCCCCCTAGAGTCGGGAATGACTAGCACATATGTGCGAGGGGAGCCTTTACCTTTATGCGCAATTTATAGTAGGCCTTGTTCTCCTGTGAGAGTCTTGATGCCTGATGATCCGAGGTGGAGCTGAGGCGGTGATGCTAACTCTGGGGAGCAGCTGTTTTTCACTCTTATGACTATTGCATCCCCAGGATCATGTGGACAAAATTTGGACGCTTGGCAACTGACTTATATTTATGACAGTTGCAGCGTCCCCCTTTTGTGACGACCTGACAACCAAAGTCAACGGGGAAGTCGGATTCACTTAACAACCCTGTTACTGATGTAACACCTGCAGTGATTCATCTAATGACTTTGGCAAGAAAAGGTTGTAACATTGAGCAAAGCTCACTTTTAACAACTGTCTCGCTTAGCCACAGAAATTTGGGGCTCGGTCGTAAGTCGAAGACTACCTGTAGTTTACCAATTTCATAAAATCCCAAAAGTGCTTTTTCAAGAGGCAACTGGACTTTCTGGTTTTTCTTTGAAGACGTTTTGCTTCTCCTCCAAGAAGCTTCTTCGGCTCTGACTGAAGAACAACGGCAAGAGCTGAAGAAGCTTCTTGGAGGAGAAGCGAAATGCCTTCAAAAGAAAAAAACCAGAAAGTCCAGCTGCCTCTTGAAAAAGCATCTTTGGGACAACCAGGACCTGGATGACTGAGAATCTCCGTAGATAATTTCATAAAATCTTATTTCTCCTTGGCATCCCAGAAGCGTTTCCTAAGAGCTTAGCGACATGCAGACTGATCAAAAAGGGGGAAATCAGATAAATCCTGTTGAAGCGTTTGGAAATCATTTCGAAACCTCTCCCCTTGTAACACGTCGATGAAGATTCTGAGTCATCCAGGTACAGTTGTCTGAAGGTTGAGTCATTGCACCTGGACTAATTTTTGTTATCTTGAGACCTTTCGCTGCTCATCCCGGCAGCTTCATCAGTCAGTTAACTCTCTGCTTAATTAGAATAGAATAACAGAGTTGGAAGGGACCTTGGAGGTCTTCTAGTCCAACCCCCTGCTCAGGCAGAAAACCCTACACTACTTCAGATGTTATCCAACCTCTTCTTAAAAACTTCCAGTGTTGGAGCATTCACAACTTCTGGAGGCAAGTTGTTCCACTGGTTAATTGTTCTCACTGTCAGGAAATTTCTCCTTAGTTCTAAGTTGCTTCTCTCCTTGATGAGTTTCCATCTGTCCTGCCCTCAGGTGCTTTGGAGAATAGCTTGACTTCCTCTTCCTTGGGGCAGCCCCTGAGATATTGGAAGACTGCTATCATGTCTCTCTTAGTCCTTCTTTTCACTAGACTAGAAATAGAATAGAAATAGAATAACAGAGTTGGAAGGGACCTTGGAGGTCTTCTAGTCCAACCCCCTGCCTAGGCAGGAAACCCTACACCGCTTCAGACAAATTGTTATCCAACATCTTCTTAAAAACTTCCAGTGTTGGAGCATTCACAACTTCTGGAGGCCAGTTGTTCCACTGATTAATTGTTCTCACTGTCAGGAAATTTCTCCTTAGTTCTAAGTTGCTTCTCTCCTTGATTAGTTTCCATCCATTGCTTCTTGTCCTGCCCTCAAGGGCTTTGGAGAATAGCTTGACTCCCTCTTCTTTGGGGCAGCCCTTGAGATATTGGGACACTGCTATCATGTCTCCCCTGCTCCTTCTTTTCATTAAACTAGACATACCCAGTTCCTGCAACCGTTCTTTGTATGTTCCTCTCTGCACTCTTGCTAGCATCTCAACATATTATAAATTCCTTTGCTGACTGCAGGTCCTTGACCGGCTTAACTGAATTTTTTGGGGATTGCACAGCCCAATGAATTACAACCTTACCCAAAAGTTGGGTTCTCGCCACCTGCTAAGGTCCTCCTGCTGCAAACATTTCTTCTTAATTTTAATCTTGAGCATGGGGCTGGACTAGAAGACCTCCCAAGGTCCCTCCCAGCCCATTCTCTTCTAAATTTAATCGTCTAGGTTAAAAGGAAGCAAACCCACCATGTTGTGTGAATGCACCTGGTCAAGTTTTGGACTTGGTTAAGTCTCTCTTGTTGGACCCACCCCACAAACTGAAATGTGTGAAGCTATACAAACCAGCTTTGGAGAAGAGCTTGACTCTCTCTTCTTTGGGGCAGCCCCTGAGATATCGGAAGACTGCTATCATGTTACCCCAACTCCTCCTTTTCTTCCCATACCCAGTTCCAGCAACCGTTCTTCATATGTTTTAGCCTCCAGTGGGTTTATTCTGACTGATGAAGGCTGGATGAGCTGCAAAACATCTCAAACTAGCAGCAAAAATTACTCCGGTTGCAATGATTCAACCTTCAGACTTCCCCCTTGTACTGCTTTTCTACCGTATAGCAAGTAACACGGAATCCTATTCCTGTTTTATAGATCTCCTTAAAAGAAAACAAGGAGAACAGCCCGCCGGCGGCCCCTGAAAATCAAAGCCCCCACGGAGAGGAGGCCACAAGGAAAGGCCAGTCTTTTACCCCGTGCTGCTCCTTGAATCTTGACGCAGAGAACTCACCGAAAGAGACTAACGTCCTGTCCCCAGTTAGCGCCAACACGCCAGGTTCTCCACCGGATTGCGAACGAGACCTGACCATGGCCAAACGTGTGCGCCGGTCTTACAGCCGCCTGGACGTCTCTTTGTCCCGCAGCTTCACAGACAAGCCGGAGTTTCCCAGCTTCAGCCTCGCGGGCACCTCCACGCCCGCCGGTGGTCCCGGCAAGCGGCAAACCTTTTTCGGTTTCGAAAAGCTCCTGCTCCCAGGGGAGCTGGCTGAGCCCGCCGTTCTGCATCTCATCAGGGCCCCCAAGACGGCGGTTGAGGAAAGCGGGGCCCTCGGGAAGCCGGACACCAACATCCCTGGCATCTCGTTCGGCAGAGAAAAACGAAGGAAGAAGAAGGTGCCCGAGTTTGATGTGAGTAGGACTTTGGGCGCTGGCGGGGGTTTTTTACAGCGGGTGAAATCCAACAGGTTCTGACAGGTTCTGGAGAACCAGCAACGGAAATTTTGAGTAATTCGGAGTACCGGAAAATACCACCTCTGGCTGGCCCCTGAGTGGGGATGGAATGGAGATTTTGCAGTATCCTTCCCCTGGAGTGGATGGGAATGGAGATTTTGCAGTATCCTTCCCCCTGGAGTGGGGAGGGAATGGAGATTTTGCAGTATCCTTCCCCTGGAGTGGTGTGGGAATGAGGATTTTGCAGTATCCTTCCCCTGGAGTGGGTGGGAATGAGGATTTTGCAGTATCCTTCTCCTGGAGTGGGGTGGGAATGGGGATTTTGCAGTATCCTTCCCCTGGAGTGGGATGGGAATGGAGAGTTTGCAGTATCCTTCCCCCTGGAGTGGGGTGGGAATGGGGATTTTGCAGTATCCTTCTCCCTGGAGTGGGGTGGGAATGGGGATTTTGCAGTATCCTTCCCCCTGGAATGGGTGGGAATGAGGATTTTGCAGTATCCTTTCCCTGCCATGCCCACCAAGCCACACCACACTACGCCCACCAAGCCACGCCCACAGAACCAGTAGTAAAAAGAAAATTGGATTTTACAGCCAAGCTGTGGCTGTAAACTTTGTGTTAAAATTACGGGCTGCTCGGTTCCCTTGACCTGCCTTGTGCACACAACGTACTAAGAGAGTGAAGGACCACACTCTGCAGGCATGGGGGTAGCAGCTGTTGTTTGCGCGGCGTACCAAGAGATCCACTCCAAATAGTAGAAGATGGCATCAGGGACTTATTTTTTTTGCCGTATTTTTCGGACTATAAGACGCACCGGAATATCAGACGTACCAAGATTTCGAAGAGGTAAACGGGGGGGAGGAGAGAATATTTTTGCCCTCCCCGGTTCCCAGGAGCACTCTGCAGGCCTCCCAAACCCTCTGTGCATTCTGTTTTTTGCAAAAAAAAGGGGACGTGCAGAGAGTTTGGGAGGCCTGCAGAGTGCTCCTGGGGACCGGGGAGGGCAAAAATATGCCTCTTTTTGGCCTCCCAAACTCGCCACATGTCACGTTTTTGTGAAAAACAGGCCTGTTTTTGGAAAAAAACGGGACTCATAGGGTGGAGTTTTGGGTGGAGAAAAATGGCTGTATTCGGTATATAAGATGCACCAACATTTCCACCCTCTTTTAGGGGGGAAAATGCGTCTTATACTCCGAAAAGTATGGTATTTAGTGCAGGAGTGACATGGGGTGTTTAAATTTGGCCCACGGGGCCGGCCTGGAGATATCAAAGGACCGCCCCACGTGGCCTCTGCTGACCAAAACGGGCCGCGCGGGACCTCCGCGGGGCCTGTTTCCGGCCGGCAGTGGGCTGCAGGAGGACTGGATTGGCCTGTATTACAATTATGTGGCCTCAAGTAAGTGCCTGATCTGGATAGAAAACAAGCAACATCCTACGTTAATATTAGAGTTTAACGCGCACGATTTTACATACTGTAGGTCCATTAAATCTACAATCAACAATCTATAATTGGCAGCCATTTCTATTTACTATCCTGGAAATTTACCTCTGTTGCTGATTGAATGATCATGTTATTTATGCTATTGTATTTTTAATACTATATTATAATATATAATTAATACATAATTATAGCTAATATATAATAATTCTATATTAGGGATGCGGTGGCTCAGAGGTTAAGACGCTGAGCTTGTCGATCGAAAGGTCGGCAGTTCAGCGGTTCGAATCCCTAGTGCTGCGTAACGGGGTGAGCTCCCCGTTCCTGGTCCCAGCTTCTGCCAACCTAGCAGTTCGAAAGCAGGTAAAAAATGCGAGTAGAAAAATAGGGACCCCCTTTGGTGGGAAGGGAACAGGGTTCCGTGCGCCTTTGGCATTGAGTCATGCCGGCCACCTGACCACGGAGACTTTGGCTTTGAAACGGAGATGAGCACCGCCCCCTAGAGTCGGGAACGATTAGCACATATGTGCGAGGGGAATCTTTACCTTACTTATATAAAGATGTGTGGAAGAATTTAATCAAGAGGTATTGCAGAATTCTGGTTGCCTTAGTGCAGAACCTTAGCAGACTCTTCTTATCTCGTAGCAGGGGCCTCTTTTTAATCCAAATAAAAGTCGTTTTATTGCCTTTATAGAAATCCAAGATGGACGAGTGGGCCGCGCAGATGAACGCCGAGTTCGAAGAAGCCGAGAAATTTGACCTCCTTGTGGAGTGAAAAAATGCATCTCCTCAGCGCATCGTCAGTGGCCACCATGTTCCTTGTACATAAATCTCAAACACCCCCCACGCCCCCCTTAGGAGGACGCTTAAGCTTTCTTAGCATAAAGGTGTAAAAATATTTTTTTGTTTGTTTACTACAGGTTTACTCGCTGACCAAAGGCAGCTAACACTTCTCTCAATGCCCCCTTCCCCAAAAACAAAAGATATTGTATTAATTATTTGGGCTTACGAGGAAATTTTTTTCCCCCCTCGGCTGTAACCTGAAAATAATGTGCGGAAGGATCCGGATTCTACGCGGCGTCACAATTTTTGTAAATGGCTTGGCTACCTTTGGGAAAACAAATCTATTCCCAAAAATAGGCAAAGATGTTAAGGTGCATTTTAGTCTTTGAAAGCGCGCGCCCATCCACGAGTTTCCCCCGGTAGTTTTATTTTTTTTTCATAATTATTTTTCTTCTGCATTTGCCTTCTGCAAAGTCCTATGTGCTTAAATGGAGTGGGGAACGTGGTTCACTCAGCCAGCTTCTATTTTTAGGGGGGGGTGAGTTAACGGGGAGTTTATGGCAGGCCTGTTTTAAGGAACAGCCCGTTCTTAAGCCTCTCTCTGGCCGTCCTTCTTAACGGACGTTCCTCGCAGTGACGAAGCTTTTGACGTTCGGTTTGTCTCTTTGTCCCGCCTGGGGACGCTTCACAGTGCAGCCCTGTTAGAATCATTGTGAGAAAATTAAAAAAAAAAAAAAAAGACTTTCCTTCAGTTTTTCCCTGTTGTCTTTAACTACTCACGTGTAATGTTTAAGAAATGATTTAGGGCAGGGGTCCCCAACGGGTGGTTTGCGAGAAAATGTTGGTGGGCCGCAGAAAAATTTACATTTTTTTATATTGTGTTAAATACTATTCTTTTTTTTAAAAAAAATTCATATTAGCAGGCCGCGGGATTTAAAATTATGAATTTAGTGGTCCCTGACATCCGAAAAGTTGGTGACCCCCTGATTTTTAGGGTAGGGGTATCAAACTCAAGGCTCATGGAGCCAGCCTGGTCTACCCAATGCGAAGAGAAAAGATGCCAGCGGTTTGGGGAGTGGTGTCAAGCTGGTCACGCCCACTCAATTGGCCATGCCCACCCAGTGATGTCAAGATGGCCACGCCCACCCAGTCGGGCAGCACCGCCTCCCCCCCGAGGTCAACCACAGCCCTGATGTGGCCCTCAACCCCCTGGATTTACGGTGGAACAACTAAGGGAATGCTGGGATTTATTTTAGAGATTTTGGGGCGAGATGGGGCGAATTATAGCGATGTCTGAAAAATTGAAACAAATACAGGGTAGTCCTGGACTTACGACCGCAGTTGAGCCCAACATTTAGAGAATTTGTTAAGTGAGTTTTGCCCCCCCCTCTCCCTTTTACGACGCTTCTTACTACGGTTGTTAAACGAATCACGGCGATTGAGAAAAGTTAGCAACCTGCTTGTTTAAGTGAATCCGGTTTCCCCGTCGACTTGGCTTGCCAGGAGGGGGATCACGTGACGCCGGGACACTGCAAACCGTCATAAGTATGAACCAAACGTCTTGAATTTTGGTCATGTGACCACGGGGATGGCTGCAATGGCCATAACTGTGAGAAATGGTCAAGTCCCTTTTTTCACAGTTACCGTTATAACTTTGAATGGTCACTAAACGAACGGTTGTAAGTCGAGGATTACCTGTATCCAAGAAAAATCCGGAGTGTCTCTCTTGAAAGAATTGGCTACCTTTATCCAAACGGATCATTTTGCTGTTGCTTTACAGGACCTCAAAACTCTTTTTTTTTTTTTTTCCTTTTCTTTTTGGCATCCCACCTGATCAAGCCTAACAATGTCAAAAGACCAGGCTGTTGATCTTGGGCAGGGGTCCCCCCCTTGGGGGCGGGGTCTTTCCATGTTTCAGAACTGAAATTCTCTTGGCCGATCAGAGCTCAGGGAAAGGGGGGCAGAGAGGCGTGGCTGAGACCCTTGCCGAATGCCCAGCCGAATGTTCTGTCCCCCTTCCTCACACAGGCAATCGTAATACCAAGCACGCCTGCCAATATTTTATTAGGTAAACAGATTAGAATTCTTGGCAGACCAAGGTTTTGGCAGCAAACTGCCGAATGCCTGCCAAGACCGTTTTCACTCCCATAAAGCAGAAGAGGACTTATCTTCAGTCCGTTCCAGGAGCAACAAATTATCCACGAGACAAAGAGTTTAGTCAATGTTCAGTCCAAAATATATCCAAGCCGAATTTCAGAGATCACGATGTGACTTTCAAGTTTTTAACTTTGTCCGTCACAAAGCCTGAAGAGCAATCCCACCCACTTTTATTCCTGGTGGGGCGTGGCTCCGTGACTCAGCTCAATCTCTGGCCCTCCCACGCCTCTTCCGTTGCTGCGCACACTTCTCCCTCCGACGCCGCCTGGGATCAAGCCGGGATTCATCATCCTCGCTCCCTATCAATTGATGCTCCGATACGCCTCCCTCCCGGCACATCCCAGGCCGTTCCTCCTGGCCTTCGGATGGAACCTGAGGCATTGCCAGAGAGGAGGGTCCTGGAGAGGGAGGCCTTGTCAGTTCCTCCCCGTCACCTTCTGAGTCCTCTTCCTCTGTCAGGACAGGCTCGGGAGTCGGGGTCACAACCCCGAGTTTACGGAAGGCTGCACCCAATTTGCTTTCGTACGTCGGGAACTGGCGGCTTTAAAAATAATCTAATCACGGGATTGATTTTTCCCCCCCGGTGCGACGCAATGGGTCAATATACAATTTTTATTGTTAAAACAGTTTGCTTTGAAACACGAGCAAAAAACGCCCTCGGGAGAATCTGCGTTTATGTAACTTGTCCAGATGTGGCACACACGCCCGCTGAATTGCAAGCAAAGGCTTCCATCATTGGAGGTTTTCCAGAAGGGACCGGGCAGTCACTTGTCTGACATGGTCTAGGATCTCCTGCTTGAGCAGGGAGGGGGGCGGGGCTGGACTAGAAGACCTCTAGATAACAGATTAACAAGAGTTGGAAGGGACCTTGGAGGTCATCTAGCCCAACCCCCCGCCCAAGCAGAAGACCCTACCCCATTTCTGACAGATGGCAGTTCAGTCTCTTCTTGGAAAGCCTCCAGTGATGAAGCTCCCACAACTTCCAAAGGCAATTTTGGTTGATTGTTTTCACTTGTCAGAAAATTTCTCCTTATTTCTAGGTTGAATCTCTCCTTGCTCACTTTCCATCCATTCTTCCTTGTCTGGCCTTCGGGTGCTTTGGAGAATAGCTGGACCCCCTTCCTCCTCTCTGGGGCAGCCCCTCAAATACTGGAACACTGTTATCCTGTCTCCCCTGGTCCTTCTCTTCACTAGACTAGCCAGGCCCAATTCCTGCAACCGTTCTTCATATTACAGATTAACAGTTGGAAGGGAGCTTATAGGTCATCTAGTCCAACCCCCCGCCCAAGCAGGAGGCCCTACACCATTTCTGACAGATGGCAGTCCAGTCTCTTCTTGAAAGCCTCCAGTGATGAAGCTCCCACAACTTCCGAAGGCAACTTAGGTTGAATCTCTCCTTGTTCTGTTTCCATCCATTATTCCTTGTCTGGCCTTTAGGTGCGTTGGAGAATAGCTTGACCCCCTTCCTCCTCTCCAGGGCAGCCCCTCAAATATTGGAAGATGCTCTCCTGTCTCCCCTGGTCCTTCTCTTCACTGGACTAGCCAGGCCCAGTTCCTGCAACTGTCCTTCATATGTTTTAGCCTCCAGTCCCCTCATCATCCCTTCCAACACCCTTTTCAGTTCAATCATGATAGAAGGGACCTTGGAGGTCATGTAGCCTAACCCCCCGCCCAAGCAGGAGACTCTACACCATTTCTGACAGATGGCAGTTCAGTCTCTTCTTGAAAGTGATGAAGCTCCCACAACTTCTGAAGGCAACTTTGGTTGATGGTTCTCACTGTCAGAAAATTTCTCCTTATTTCTAGGTGAATCTCTCCTTGATCAGTTTCCATCCCTTCTTCCTTGTCTGGCCTTTGGGTGCTTTGGAGAATAGCTTGACCTCCTTCCTCCTGTCTGGGGCAGCCCCTCAAATATCGGAAGATGCTCTCCTGTCTCCCCTGGTCCTTCTCTTCACTAGACTAGACGTAACTCAGTTCCTGCAACCGTTCATCGTATGTTTGAGCCTCCAGTCCCCTCATCCTCCTGGTTGCTCTTCTCTGCACTTTTTCTAGATTCTCAACGTCTTTTTTATAGTGTGGTGACCAAAACTGGATGCAGGACTCTAGGTGTGGCCTTACTAAGGCTTTATAGACCTCCAAGGTCTCTTCCAGCTCTATTCTGATTCAAACTTGAATTACAAAGGGGATGGATGGACGGATGGAAGTGGGATGAGAGAGAGATTTTAGATAATAGAGCAGTGTTCCTCAACCTGAAATTTTTTAAAAGATGCGTGGACTTCAACTCCCAGAATTCCCCAGCTAGCATGTCAGGAGCATAGGGAACTCTGGGAGTTGGAGTCCACAAACATCTTCATTTAGCCCAAGGTTAGGAAACGCTGTTCTATCTAATCTCTCATCTTTGTTATCGAATCTCAGGGGTGGAATTTGCTCGGTTTTATGATCCAAAGCCCAGGTACCATGTTCCTCTTCTACCGCTGTTAAATCATTAAAGCACCTTTATGCAATTTATTGCCGTGATTGCTCAGCTCGGCAGAGTTTAAAGAGACTACGAATTCAGTCTTGCTCAACTGGATTGTTAAACCCTGGTTTGTGAACGAAGCGACAATGACCTGGGGTTACGCCACCCGCTAAAAGATAAACCACAGTTTACAAATGTCTGTGGAGATTCTCAAATCATCCAGGTCATGGTGGTCGCAAAGAGGTATTTTTCAAAAGGCAACTGGACTTCCTCCTTGTTCTTTTTTTCCTTGAAAATGTTTAACCCAAAGGGGCTTTTTTTTCCAAGAGGCAACTGGACTTTTTGTTTGAAGAGGTTTCGCTTCTCATCCCAGAAGCTTCTTCAGCTCTGACTGGATGGTAGGAATGGAAGGATTGATACTCCTTGCAGACAGCTGGTCATTTGCATCCTTTTAGCAGGTTGTTAAGCTCACCTGGAGTTTTGTCTGTGTCCTCAGGGTT